AACGACTCAGCTTTTTTCATAGCCATGACTCAGCATATGTATGAAAGTGTTACTTGGCATTTTTGTTGGACCATGACCCAGCATTTTTACAAAAACACGACAGCATTTTTAGGAAACTATGACTCTGCATTTCACATACCCGTATATCACCATTTCATGTACCCAAAGCTTGGCATTTCTCATGCTGTGTATACTAACGTAAATAAAAACTAAACCTAGATACAGCCAGCTCTGGTCTCTCCTTAAAAAACTTAAACGGATGACCTGAATGCAGCAAACTGTTCTCAAGTTTTTAACTGTGTCCCAAAATGACTGCCCAAGAATAGTTTTAGAAATACAAAACTATCCAGAAATCAACAAGGTAAAATTTACAATGTCTGGCGCTTATCAAAAATTATTAGGCAGACAAGGAAAATACAGGGTCCGGCACATATAACACCTCCTTTTTATTACAAAATCATAAGCATGTAATTCTGTAACATAACAATATCACACTCAAGACACCATAAGACATTTTAGGTGAAATGTTCAAATTAATATTATTACCCGACCAACCACACTCAAGCAAGTGTTACTTCTGCAGGACCCAGTAGAAAATGAAATGAAATGAAAATCAGTCAATCCAAAGTAATAAAGAAACAATACAGGTGATAGAAATAGTAGGCAAGTTATTATTAACGTACATTCAAAAAACTAAAGATCAGACATGTTGAGACATGGAAGACATAAAAAAGATACAAATTGAAATTCTAGATATAAAAGTTACATGGGCTTTGTATTGATTAGACATTGAAGAAGCAATAATTAGTAAACTCAAAGACACAGCAATAGAAAGCATTTAATAAAACATACACAGGAAAGAAAGCAAAGCAAAATAAAAAATGAACAGATCATCCATAAACTGTGGGGACAGCATACACCTACCATATGACCCAGCCATTCTGCCCTTAAGTATTTTCCCAAGAGAAATAAAAGCACATATCCATACAGACTTTTAAACTGATGTTCATAGACGCTTTATTTATAATAATCCAAAGTGGAAACAATTCTAAATCTATGGGTAGTTGAGTAGATTTTAGAAAATACATTTAATATATATCCATATCACAGAATACAGCCCAGCAATAAAAAGAAATGAGCTATTGATACATGCAATAGCATGAGTAGATTTGAAAATAATGATGCTAAAGAAAGACAAATGAGTACATATTTTGGAATTGTATTTATATACAGTTCTAGAAAATGTAGCAAATCATGAATGACAGAAGGCAGATCAATGGAAGAGGGAGGTGGAGAGAGGGAGGAAGAGGGAATTACGAAGGGACAGGAGAAAACTTTTGGTGGTGGTGTGTGTGTCCCTTACCTTGATTGTTGTGATGGCTTCCTGGGCGTATGTAGTTAAGAATATATCCAGTGGGGTCTATCTCAGTTGTATCTCAATAAAGCTGTTGAGAATAAATGCATATGTAAATAAATACTATAAACAATTTTGAAACAAAGAAGGGAAATGGTTCAGCAACTAGAAGGAAATACTAGGTTGACTGACTGTTGTTTTGCTTTTTTCGCGATGGGGGGCGAAGATTTTGGCTTTGCCTTGTTTCTTTTATGAAACAAGCTCAAGAAAACTTATAAGCTGTAAGTAAATATATTTATGTGCACAGAAAGTTACAGGAAGGACCCCAGCTGGTGTGGCTCCGTTGGTTGGAGCTTTGTCCCATAAACCAAAATGTTGCGTTTTCAATTCACGGTCAGGGCATGTGCCTGGGTTGCGGGTGGGGCATCCGTGAGAGGCAACTGATCAGTGGAGGATTAAAAAAATTGGACATTTTAGGAAAGAGAGGAGGCAGTTAACGGAGCAAAGTCCTGAGAGAAGAAATAGACTCTTCGGAGCCCAAGGCCTGATGCAGTCGGGTCTAGAGAAAAGGCATAAGGATGAAAGGGTTTACGTAGTATACATGGCTCCATTTTTATGGTCCAAATGCTGAACCTTGAGAATAAGCTCTTATTTTGGAGTATCCGTGATATTATCTTAAGGTAAATTAATCAAATTTATACATTCTTTCCCACTCAAGAGTAGTATAGCTCCTTAGAAGTAATTTCTCCCTAATTCAAATACATTTTCTAACATTGAACTCAGGTTTGGCTGCCTGCCACTTTGATAGCCAATACTTATGTGCTGATGGTTTGTTCCAGGGACGGCAGCCTGGGGACATGGTGGTCTTTTGTCCTAAAGACCATCCTAACATCTCAGTGCAGGCAGAGGTTTACATTAGGAGGAGGGAAAGCAGAACAAAGAAACTGGGGAGGGGAGAGTTGAAAATTCTGTACATGTAAGTCAGCACACAGTATATTCTAATGACTGTCCCAAAAGTGGAAAGTGGTCAAGCAGCGGTCTGGTGTTTGTGGTTGCAAATCAGCAAGTCTCTGGGAGCAAGCACGTGGAGTTGCTGGAGTCGGCTTCCTTTGAGGTTAGTTCCTGGAACTTTTACACAAATATGCTCTTTATTTATAAGTTGCACATTAGTTAACAATTAATCTTTCACAAAGACTCTTTTCACAGACATGATATTAAAAGAATAGAGGGGTATGTAACACTTCTAAGTCTGGGTTTCAGCTGATGTAAATCTGTGATATAATCTAAAAATAAGATTATTGAAAAGTGGACCGTGCTTTACCCCTATCAAGAAAGGGACTCTAAGTTAGAAGGCGTTCTGCTCCAATACAAAAGAGTCTCCCATCTAAGCACCCTGAGTAATGCTGGGGGCCCTATTTCTCCTTCTGGCATATGTTTATGTAATGTGGAGAAGCATTCAGCTAAGTGAAAGGGATGCTGGTCTTCAAAACCTCTAACCCAACAGGATTGCTTGCTACATAGTAATTGATATTTAAGTTAATTCTATCAAAACAGCACAAAAACAAAATGTCTCCATTTAACAGAATCACGTGTCATTTTAACATTAAAATACTGTGTAACCTAATGCTTTAATATCCTAATATGACATTTAGGAAGATTCGGACTTCCAGGAGCATTCAGGGAATTTAAAGATGTAGTCCAGTACATAAAATCCTGAACCTGTAATGATGTTTTTCTTTTTCTTACCTGTTTTATTTCCATCACCATGGGCTAGTGGATAAAAGAGAAATTGCTGTTCTTTTAACTACTTTTCCTTTGGGACCAAAATGTTTTTTTTTTTTTAACTGTGCTTTAAGGGGTCTCTCGACTGTTGAAACATGGCTCTTCCCCACCAAACCAAGGAAGTGCGTTTACCTGCCATGTGCTGCCTCACTCACAGAGTTTTCTATCTCCACACTTTCAGGTTCCGCCTTTGCGGGCTTACTTGGGAAGGGCCGATATCTCTGCAAAACCAGCCGGGGAGAGGGACCAAAGCCACGGAGGCCCATGCTCAGACCCTGGGAGGAGAGGGGACCCTCTCACTTGAGACTTGAGGCAGGTGCCTCCCACCTGACTTAAGCGCAGGAAAATCTGTGCACCAAGTCCTCTACCTGGAAGGTGCGTAGGAGTTGTGCCCGGTGCAGTGGCTGCTTGGGTCCCAGAGTTGCCCCACTAAGTAGAGAATTCAGGTACACCCTACCCTGGCGCCAAACGAGTTGGTGGTCCTGGTGACAGGCGACAAGGATGTCTGGGCTGCTCCTATCCCTGGCAGGCGAGGGAAGCGTGATTTGGGCGCTGCGGGAGGGCAGGCACTTGGCTGTGGAGCGGTGCGGCGCTTTGGGAGTGCGCAGCCTGCTCGCACAGTGCCAGGACCCCTTCCCGGGGTGAGGGCCTGCTGGTGGGAGAGTTGGGCTGTCGGCGGCTCCCGCAGAACTCGTGAGGCGGCGGTTCCAACTCCTCCCCCTCCCACACTGGGGGCGGGAAGTGGAGGGTGGGAGTCACCGGAGCGTGACTGTCCAAGGCCCCTCCTGCTGCTGCAAGGAGCACCATAAAAGCCCTGTTGCCAGCCGCTCTCCACACCCCTTTTCACCGGCTCTCACCCCTGGGAGAGGCGCTCCGGACAGGACAGCAGAGCACTCACCGCCCAGCCACGCCCGCCCGCCTGCCACCACTGCCACCGTGAGTGCCACTACCCCCTGGGCTTGACGGGACAGAGTGGGGTGCCGAAGCTGGGGCCCTGTCTCACCCTCTGCGGAGCCCTGGGGCACTGGGAGGGTCGAGCCTGCTCCCTAGCCCCTGCTCCCCATGCTGGGTCCCCTCCCTGCCCCGTGCACTCCAGCTGCTTCGCGCGACTAAATTGCACCTGCCTCTTCTGGACCCCTCTGATGGCCCAGTCACCGGGCTCCAGACCCTCCCGGCCGGCGACTCTCTGGGCTATCTTTTGGAGGAAGTGGGGGATGAAAACGACCTCCAGCCCAGAGCTGCTGGCAGCATCCTCGGGGTTCTCAGGCTGCAGGGAGGTTTCCCTGAATGAGGAATCCCTGGAGCTCGGACGCCCAGCGCATCCAACCTGGGATCTGACAGGAGACTGGCTGGCCCGGGGAACAGTTCTCTTTCCTCTCCCCCAAATTGCCACCCTGAAGTAGGCTCAGCATTCACTCAAGCTCCTGCAGCTGGAGAGACCAGAAGTATCGGAGAAGAAACTTTCCCCCTCTGACAGGGATTGTGGGGAAGAGGCTAGGAGAGTGATGTTCCTCAGCCTGTCAGGGAGGACTTCTAATTCTGTTTTTAAAGTGTCTAAACTGGCGCTCTCTGCCCCCACCCTCTCTGCGCCCCTCACTGAGCGACCCTGGGCCCAGTGACTTGGACCCGAGTTGCACGGAGTTTTCAGGTGGAGCGGAGGGGCCGGGCCAGCGCAGACTGTGCCCGAAGCCTGCGGGGCGAGCTCGTCACGCTCTGGTCCCCTCTGGATCACTGGGTTGAGCACAGACGCGGGGTCCTGGGTGGTAGCAGAGGGGCACGTGGCTCGGGAAGCAAAGGCGGGAGGTGTGGGGCATGTGTCCTCTAAGCGTCCAAGCCTTTCCCCCTGTGCCTTTGGTGCCCTCAGATGCTGGGGAGCAAGCGACTGGGGCTGTCAGGGCTGACCCTCGCCCTGTCCCTGCTCGTGTGCCTGGGCGCGCTGGCCGAGGCATACCCCTCCAAGCCCGAAAACCCGGGAGAGAACGCGTCTGCGGAGGACCTGGCCAGATACTACTCTGCGCTGCGACACTACATCAACCTCATCACCAGGCAGAGGTGGGTGGGCTCGGAGGGACCTCCTCCAGGAGCTCTTGTCTTGCCTGCTTGCCCAGAGATGTGGGGCTCTCAGAGAGGACAGGGACCATTTCTTGTCCTTTGCTATATCCCAGGGCAGGGCAGTACCAGGACTTCCTCGACTCCCAGTTACGTTTGTGCAAGGCACTGAGTACTTTCCCTCTGCAACTACAGCGAAAAACCCTGCTCACAGAGTCAAGTCCTCTGGGCGGTGTGACTGGCGTCTCCTCCTGCCCATCCCTTTGTCTGTTTTGCCCTTAGAGCAGTTGGGGGATGTTTGGAAACTGGGACAAGGAAAGTGTCCTGTGAAAGGGCTCAGCAGGACCCCCAGGAACGGGCTGCAGGGAAAGCAGAGGGCAGGGCGTCCAGGAAGAATATCAGCACAAACCAAGGAGGAAAAAGCTGGGAGGCTAAAGATACTGCCAGATATTGCAGCCTGCGCAGAGTGACCTGAATGACAGTATTTAGGAAAAGACAAGTAGAGCTACTTTCTTCACTTCCGTACAGTGTTCCGCCCCCCTCCCCCACCCAAGTCTCAGACCTTTACTTGAAAATTCTGGCCCAAATAAATAGAGATTTAGGAGAAAACAGCTGATCTAAAGTGCAGTCTTTCCCATTTTATAGCAGGCGAGTTCTGAAAAGAAAGTGCCTGCTTGGTGCTAAATTAGTTAGAAACTCACATTTGTCTAGTCGCTCCAGGATGAAGCCAGAGATCACGTGGAATCTGAGAAATTGTAAACCTCATTCTGAGGCCCTAGGAACCTAAAATAAAATTCCACATTTTCATTCTCAACATCAAATATTGAGCAACAAATCAAATTCAATTTTACAAATAATATAGGATTTAAAATTTGTTTCTAAAATTAGTTCATCTTAGTTCTGAGTCATTCGGTATCTTATTTTAATTCCCGAGATCAAATGACCTTAATAAGCTAAAAACAGTGAACCCTTTAAAAGCATTAATGTTATTTAGCATGTTTAAATCATGTTTTCTAAAATGTTGTTTTTTGTTTTTACCATATATCTCTGTTTACAGACAGGGAGTAGTTGGAAAAGATGCAAAGTGGGGTGAACTTCTATTTCTTAAATGAAGTTTCATTTTTTTATGTTTCATCAAAAAGCTCTTTAACACTGAGAAGTTTCTAAAAAGTCTCAATTTATATAGAATCAGAAATGCATGAAATGCCAGAACTTAAATAGTACTGGTTTATGATCCCTGAAGCCTGATAATATTAGTTTGTAAAAAGCAACACTGTTTTATATCCTAATAGATTCTCAGAAATGTAATTGCTTCTAATTCTTCTTATGCCATCTTACAGACCAGAGAAACTTATTTTTGCAAAAACAGTTGCTCTAAAGCTTTCCTGTTTTACGGTATAAAGGTTTAGCATTTCAAAATGTTTTTCTAGGCACAGTTTTGTTCAGTCGTAACCTCAAAGCTTTGGAGCGAGTTAATTATCTCCATTTTACAGATCATGAAACTAAGAGTACTTCGTGAAGCCTTTTGGGGGTGGTGGAAGTGGAGCCCTCCTACTGATTTTCCTGGGATGTTGTCTCCAAAGTCAGCAGCCAGTGTGATCTCAGGCGCCTTTGATGAGGAAGAGATAAGGGAAAGGGACTTGAGTGTCATGGGAAGAGAGTCAGGTGCAGTGGAGATGGGTCAGTCCTGGAGCAGAGTTTTCCTTCTCATCTTCATATAAATTCCTCCTTAGAAACCATCAGAGGTTTATAACTGGAACCAATAATCTCTGTTCTGCATCTTCACTGCTTTCTCACCCCAAGCACCTGCTCATATGCACATGCTGGTATTTTTGAAAATTACAGTGTCATTTGTGAATATGTTTGGCTTTGTCGTAAATGTTCCTTTTCCTTGCTTTCTCTCCATGTCCATGTTTTTAAGCTATACGCCCTGGTTCACTGCTTTCTGAAAGCTACAGCATTTTTTTCCTAGAGCATGGGTCTACCATATTTTGCTCCATCAGTGGTTCTCAACTCAGGCTGACTTCTGCTCCCCAGGAGATTTGGCAATGTCTGAGACGTTTTTTGGTTGTCACGAGGGGTGGTGTACTGGCATCTAGTGGGCAGAGGCCGGGGGTGCTGCTGGCCATTCCATTACGCCCAGGGCAGCCCCTCCCACAAAGAAGTATCCAGCCCAGGATGTGCGCAGTGGTGAGGGTGAGGAACCCAGTCCTAGGTTAGGGAGTGTTTTTCCGTCCTGGTCACACAGTGGAACTGCCTAGGGAACTTAGAAAAAATACGCTGACTCTGTGCCGCACCCCTGACCATTGTCAGACCCTGGGGTAGGTTGGGAGTGGGACGCGGACTTCATAGCAGTTTGAGAAGCTCTCCAGGTGACTCTCCTGTGCAACCAGGGTTGGGATTTTTTTCCCCCTACAGACTCTGTCTTTGAAAGTTAGCGCATTCTAGAGAAAAAGGATAATCTGGAATAAATTAGAGAAGGACAAATAGTGAAGAGTGCTCTCCTGTGCAAATCCTAGATTTAGTTTCTTTAACTTGTAAATTGTAAAAATATTGGCCAGTTCGTTCATTCACTGGAGCATGATGAAGATAAAGGAATTGAGGTTTCCCAAGAGTTTTAAGATTAGTATAATCAGCTAATGGATGGAATAAATAAGTAAAAGTAGCAGCCTACAGTCTGATATCACAACTCCAGAAAATCTGTGAGGAAACCTTACAAATGATGGGGGCAGAGGAGTTTGCTTCCCCCACCCCCCGCCTTGAGTCCCAGAAAAGGAGGAATAATAGGAAAATTTCCCCCCAAATTTAGATTTAATTGTGCTTTACAGGCAGTTAGCATACACCCCTGACAGCTTTGTTCTTGTTTTACCTGTTAGCTCATTATCTGTTAGCTCATCAGTCCATGTCAGGCTAATTTTTCATTTGTGAACAAAGTGGCTGCTGGTGTCCAATGCCTTTTTCGAAAAAGGGGACAACAGCTTCTTCTTCTTCAAAAAAAAAAGCAGCTTGCTAGTCTACACTCGTTGGACTCTTCAGCAGTGAGAGAGTGAGAGGGAGGGAGGGCGGGGTGGATCCCTGTGCTCACTCACCTGGAGCAGGTAGCAGATGCCATCCTGGCAGGAAAGCAGCGCCTCGCATTCACATATCGTCTCTCCATATCCAACAAAGGGAGGAAGAGGCCAGAAACATTTCTTTGGACCAGAAGGATTTCTTTATATTTACAGGGCAGATTAAAATCACAGCACGAGAGAAGGCTTTTAGCTTGTGGTGCCCCAAATAAATATGAGAAATATAGGCCCCAGGCTCCGTTGCTCTCTGTAAGAAAGGGTGGGTTTCAACTGCAGTGACTTGCATCCGTGCACCGCTTTGTCATTTCCACAGCACCGTGACTCACATTGAATTTTCACAAAGACTGATGGATGCATGAGTTATAATTTTGTTTTTACAAATGAGAAAACTGAGGTGGAAAGACACAGGTGGGTCTAGAACTTCAGTCACTGATTTTTCCCCCTAGGGATGGTTCTGAAATGTCACCTGGTCTCTTTGTTAAGGTTTCAACTGCTGTATGTCATCAGAACGAGAGCTAATTAACTAATTATGGAAACATTAAAATCATACCTTGATATATTTTTATATCCTGTTACTGAAGTATATAAATATACCTGAGTATGTATTATTTGTGGTATAAAAATACAAGTATTTGGAGTTTTGGTTGGGCTTAAATAATGTTATTTGAATATCTAAACAAAATTATATATATTTAATTTGAAATCATATTTATGTTTTTGATAATGTATGCTTTGTATACCTAGATTAGTTGTTAGCAGATGATCAACTGAAAATAACTTGGATATCATACCTCAAATGGCAAACTATCTTTTTTTCCCCTGAAGATTTTTATGAGTACTCCCACCTTGCTTTAAAGAACTTTTCCTTTTTTTTGTTGTTAGATATGGAAAACGATCGAGCCCTGAGACACTGATTTCAGACCTCTTGATGAGAGAAAGCACGGAAAATATTCCCAGAACTAGGTATGAAGAAGTTTGTGTGAGGACATTGTTGCAAAGCCCAAGGTGCCAGGGGAGGGCAGTCAGAGAGGGCTGCCCCGGGAGGAAGCCTGGAACCAGGGCCCCCAGACCACGGGGGGGGGGGGGGTTTGGAGAGAAATGCGGGTGGGGAACGAGGCTGGGAGGACCTTTCTGTTCGTGTAGTCATTTGTAAGTCTCTCAGCTTCTGTGGGTTCATATTTCTACTGCAAATTTTGTGGTTCTCCTTGGAAAACTTTAAATACAAGTGATTTTTACTCCGGAAAATTTTCTACATAGAATTTCTACTGGGTTAGCACTGGGGGAGCACAGAGTGAGTCCCCATCTCTATGTTGAAAGGACCCATCATCCAGCTTTGGCTGGGGTGATCTTAGGTTTTTATATGCTATGTGGAGTGTCTGGATATCCTAGGATATGTCCCCTCCTGAGTCTTATTCCAGTCTCTCTGGTTTTACATGAAATTGTAGATAAATGACAGGAAGCTCGTTTACTTGTTAACATATTTTAGTTCAGCTGATGTGATGCAGTAATTTATTGCATTCCATGAATGAAAAACAATGAATTATTCTTAGGGGCTTATCTGTAGCCTTGGGGCTTTCTTGGTGTGTGGACTCTTTTGGGAAGAGATGCCCACCAACATCTAGGGGTCAGCTCCTGTACCAGGAGTCCTGCTGAAAAGAAATCTGGTCCTCAGTTCTCCTAACTGGCTCTTCTGTCCCCTGCCGCCTGCCTCCCGCCTTCCCCGCCCAAGTAAGACCCCTTGGCCCATGGGTCACCCATTTCTGTGGCAGCCTGTCTGCCTTAAACCCAGAACTGAACATGGCAAGAACCGAGTTCCCCAGAAGAGGTCACTAGAACACTTGCGCAGTGTGTGTGGCTGGCGGGTCACTCTCATTGGGGTTCTCCCTGGAGATTAAAGCAGATGACTGACCTGTCATAGAAATGTATACCTGACACCTATATGACCCTAGGGACCAGTGTCACCACAGTACATTTAATGAAATGAAAAGATACACAAGTGAAAATGTAAAACATAACGCGGACGACGCGATGAGCCGTCCATCACCTCCCCGCCAGCCCTCCCTCTGTGTCTTGTGCGGTGGGCGGCCAGGGCGGAGGGCCTCCTCCAGCGGAGTCAGGCTTGTTTTCTCGGAGGGAAGGAGCCATGTGGACTAGAATGAAACTCCAGTGCTGTCTCTGGAGGTGCCAACCAGACTTAAACAGCAAATGCAAGGGAAGCAGGAGCGATGAACACTGAATACAGTATGCAGATGATGTATTATAGAACTGTACACCTGAAACGTGTATTAACCAATGCCACTCCAATAAATTTAATTAAAAATACAAGGGAGGCAAATGGGAAATTCACAAGCATTGTCTCCACATACTAACCAATAAATGCTTCTTCATATATTATGGACATGCTTATGATGTTTGCTACAGTAAAAAGTTTAGGGGAAGCTATGTCTACTTAGGATAAGAAAAAGAACCATCCAGACGTACTTACAACCTTTATGCTGTTGTTTGTTTTGTGTCCTGAAGTTGCATCGTTAGTGCATAAAATAAAGTTAATTGCACCCTGATTGCCAATCAAGTACAGTTAGAAAGAAACCAAACTTGACGGGCTTGAAGTTGCCTGTGAATGCTATTTTATTAAAAAGGGTTCTTTATAGTCCAACATATAGCATAGCGAGCTTTGCAGGAAAACAAAGGAAGCATATTCAGAGTTGAGCAACAATAACTTTCTTGTTGCAGTTTTGTGTGGTTCCTGTAGTTTTGATCTTCAGAAATATTGCCGAGTTCTTTGGCTTCTTTGATAAATACAGAGCCTTTCAAATAGTCCCTCTGAGATTTGCCCGAGACTCCTGCTACCATAAGTGAAAGCCGCTCAGCCTGGGCTGCGCACATTGTGCCAGCGTCTCCTGCTCCGACACTCTGCATGGTCCCCTATTCAGGATGGCAGCTGGAGCCTTTTCAACAGTTTCTGACCACCTTTCAGTTCAGAACAGAATGTCTCAGTCTTGCAAGCCTTCCAGGAAGCTGGGAAGTTTCTCTTACATGCTCTGCTTCTTGTGTTTGACAGGCTGGAAGACCCTTCTATGTGGTGATGGGAAATCAAAGTTGCTCTCCGGTCTTTGCCTACTTTTCAACCCCTATTTCATTCTGTAAAACTAGAGTCTGCCTGTTCTCCCAATGCATGCAGCCACTGTACTCAACTCTGCAGAGTCCTCCTTTGTCGTCATTGTATATATGTGCATTTCAATAAAGTAACATGCATTCAAAAGTGTGTGCTCCGCAATGAGAAATCTGATGTTGCGACAGTGAGAATTATTTTCAGTTATTCATGAAATCACAGTCTCCCTCAAGCAGCAGATTCAAGGCTTGTTTCATCAATATTAAGGCAGTGGCTGCCAGGCTGGGTGGCTCAGCAGGTTGGAGCATCATCCAGTGTGGCAAAAGGTCACAGGTTCTGTTTCTGGTCAGGGCACATACCTAGGTTGCAGGTTCCATGCCCTGTCAAGGCATATACGGGAGGCAGCTGATCTGTGTTTCTCTCACATTGATGTTTCTCTCTCTCTGTCTCTGTCTCTGTCTCCCCCCTGTCTTTTACCTTCTTCTTCTCCTTCTAAAATCAATGAACATATCCTCGGGTAAGGATTTTTTAAAAAGTGGCTATGGGAGAGATAAAGATATGATGACTTATGGTGGCCAAGACTCAGCTGTGTGTGTGCGCTTGTGTATGTGTAATAACAGAAGTGTTTGGAAATGTTGAGCTGGGGAGAGCTAATTTGGAACAGTCTGGTGAATTTTTCCTCCTGTTCCCAGGGACTCCTTGTTAACCTCATTAGCCTGTGCTGTCAGCAGAAAGGATTGCTGTCTAACAGAACTTGCTGCAAAATGTCTTATGTCTTCCTGTTCAATATGGCAGCCATTAGCCACATGTGGCTTTTGAGCAATTGAATGTAGCTAGTGCAAATAAGGAGCTGCATTTTAAATGTTACTGAATTTTAATTTAAATCGCCACATGTTTCCAGCAGTTACCATGTCAGGCAGCTCAGGTACATACAGTTCCTTCAGCTACTACTCTTGGAATTTGAGTCATAAGCAGAAACACAGTAGGATGATTATCTTTTCACACAACATGCAGTATGTTCATTGTTTTAGTTAATGGTTGTTAAACCTCCTCCTTCATGTACTTATTTGCATGGGCTTAGTTTAAAATTAACCTTATTAGGTTCTTACCTATAATTTCTAAATCACAGGAAATGTCTGTTATCCTATATTTGTACTTTATACCACATTGTAAAAAAATATGCACAAATATTTTTATGTGAGGTCTTAAAACTGTTCACAAAAACCCCATATACATCATGACTTAGGGAACTTTGTAGTATAGAAAATATTCTCTATACAAAAAATTCTAATGTTTCTTCAGCCAGTGAAGTCACTAATACTACAAAGCATAATTTCCTTTAATGAAACTAAGATAAGAACTATTGTGTAATTTTCCTAAATTTCTCCTTATTTTTTGTTTCTTTGTGCTTTAAGATAAATACCAGTATGTAAGAAAAGCATTTTTCAGAAACTTTAAATGTTTAGTAAGTCACGATTTACTATCACACAACATCAAACTTCTTTATTAATCTAGTATATTTGGAGCTCTTTTTTATTGAAGTTATATTATGCAAAGAAAGGTGACAAAGATTTATTTGGAAGCACAGGTGTGCTAAAATATTCATCACCATAAACAGAACTCTGGGTTACAAAGAATAGAACAAATAGGAATAATGTATATGAACCATTGATTGAAAGATGATCTGGGCATTTTGTTTTAAATGAAAGATTAAACATCATATCCCACCAACTCTAAATACCTGAAAGGCTAAACATTCGACAGCCTACATTTTGCCTGTAACTGAGGCCCTGATCTCTCACCTCATCATCTTTCGCCAGAGAGAGGACTAAACTTTCACACTGTGTGAGCTCTGCGGCACTGACTCGCTGGCTTCCAGGTGCCCTGACCCTCATATTCTCTGAACTGAGTTCTCATGTGTCAGACAGGAATAATAGGTCCTGCCCAACTTTCCACATAAGTCTACTAGCATTAAATTCAAGTTTAGATAATGTCACATGTAAGTAAGAGTAGGGAGGTGGATAAGGATAAAGGTTTTGATGGTGACGGTGTTTTGGGGTGGGCTCTTTGGGGGTGATCAGGTCATGAGCTCACATGAAAGGGATTAATGCTGTTGTAACAGGGACCCCTTGTCCCTACTATCACTGTAGGACATGGTGAGAAGATGGGTGTCCTTAAACCAGGAAGCAGGCTCCTACCAGACACCAAAACTGCTTGTGATTTCACCTTGGACTTCCAGCCTCCAGGGCTGTGAGCAAAACGAACAATCAACTTCTGTTGTTTTAAGCCACCCATTTGTGGTAGTTTGCTACTGTAGCCCAAATGGACTAAGACATCCCTGATAAAGAAGAATTAGCTTTAAAGAATACAGTAATGGTAAACTTTTTAAAACGGCAGAACTGCATTTCAAAAGATTCCCTAGTAGTATTTCTCAAACATTTGCAGCCTGTTGACCCTCCTTGGAATAGGTGTAAAGGCATCAGCTCACTCACCTGTCATTGCAAATAATAATCCTCACTTGAGTGACAGGAAGAACAGCTCAGCATTCATCAATGAGATGCCTATAAGCAACACAATCATTATCAAATAAATCTATAAGCAGTATTAAGCTCTCCTCTGATCCCAACTCTATTCTACATCTTAAGAAGTGTAAATCGTCCATAAGTTTTTTGCTGATGTCATTGTTTTTATTTTAATCCTTATAATGCCATGACACATTCAAGTGGATAATTATTGCTCCCGTTTTTACAGATACAGAATCTAAGTGACTTTCCCCACCTCATTCAAATTGGGGGACCAGGCAGCAGCTTCTACCCTGCCTGATGATGTCTCACAGAAGTAAGTCCAGACCAGGTCACATATAATCTAGTTAAGACTATAACTCAGGCACAGTTAAAACAATTAGAGGATAACAAAGTACTAAATTGTGCAAGAGACGTTTAGAAAAGAAAACAAATGAGTTTGGGCAGAAGTGGCTGGAAAGGGCTTAACACAATGTGAGTGCTGAGCTAGAATGGAGGACGTTCTGTGTGAGGTGACCAGCCGAGCTAAACACAGAGATCGGGCGGCTACAGCTTGTGTAGGAAATGTCCAGGTGTCTACCTGACGGGACCAGAGGCAGAGTAGCCTGGGCCTGGGTTGATGAAGGAGGTTCAAGAATGGCCAAACTCACCCATTCATCCATTCATTCACTTAACATTTTTTGAGAACCTAATATGTACTGGACATTGTACTAAGCACGGGGGATATAAAGATCAATAATAGTTTCTCAGGCAGTGTACCATCTAATGAGGGAGACAGATAATTACAGTGCATTATTAGAACTGCTCAGATGAGAGTGTTAGAGATTTGGGATATAGTTAGGTTCTTCCTTCTCATTCATCATGCTTCCCTTTGCAGCTCCCTGACAAGGGAGCTGTAGATAGGAGAACCAATTGCCAAAGGGAGAACAAAATGCCAGATAGGCAAGATACCAGAGAGGCCAAATTCAGGGCTGCCCTAAGCTGAGTCGGGGCACCTGACGGAGGCCCAATATTCTAAAATACCTCCCTGCCCCCATATCAAATCTCAGCATCCTGAAGGTGAGTGAGATTTGACGGGAATTAGTGAGTTCTGCGGGGCAGCCTCCCAAATCCCCTTACCCGCACAGCCACACAGAGAAGAGCCAGCCCACACATGGAGGAGCAGATGGAAGAAGAGAACGGGCACTCATGAACGCACGTTGCCTTTTGACACAGCGTCCCTGCCCGCAGTGCAGTGAGGTCTCAAGAAACAATAGGAGTAGGAGCTGCCCCCTGCAGATGGAGGCAGGAAAAGAGGACAGAGGAAGGAAGGAGCAGAGCCCCTGTAAGCCAGGGTCAAAGCTGTTTCTCCCTGTTGCAGGGTCAGAAATACCTCCTCCCTCCATAACAAGAAGTGGGTGTGGGGTGTTAAGAAGCCAGGAGGGGCCCCCCTCCCAGGCTGGGGAGAGTCGAGGAGGAAGACCACACTTCCAGGCGGGGCTGAGGCTTGCAGGAAGACCTCCAATGGCCAGGTGAAGGCTGTGAGATGGCAGGTGGAAGCTGTGCAGATGGGAGACAGCAACGCATATTTGGAGTGTTTTAGAAGTTATGTGTGGTTCCTGTACTTTGAATTTGACCATACGGTAGGCCTGGACCACTGGGTTACTATTCTAAAGGGAAAATCCCGTGAGGTGGGAAATCAGGTCCCCTAGCCAGCCCCACCGCTTTTCTCGCAGCCATTCTTTCCTTCTCCCCTACCTCCAGTCCTCCTTGTTCTTCTCGTGGACTTGGCTCCAGGCGCAAAGCAACCCCCTTATCTTGAATATATTCTTCATTCAGCAAAATCAGGACGACACTTCTCAGCCTGAGATCTCTTAAACGTGATCCTATGGACAAATGTCCAAGTTCAGAGAATAAATGTTCTAAGGTCAGTTCCACTCCCTAATTCAGGAAAAAAGGGTCTCACTATTTCTTTTGCAGTATTTGAGCGTCCTGAATATCTTCCAGGCTCTTTCCCCTGCCTGCATAAGGGTCAGGACAGAGGAGCAGATGCAAAGAGGGGGGAAAATCAGCAGTGCTTTGGGATTTCCACACCATGGTGCAGTGTTTCCCGCTAAGTAAAGGAAGGGTGACTCATGCCTCTGTCAAAAGCTATGCCCGTGTGCAGACTCTATGGCCCTTCTGGTGACAGAAAAGGAAATATGATGGCAGTTGATTGTCCCCCTCTTTCTAATACACATGCATTATACTTATATGGTTACTTATTACTATTAAGCAAGAAAAAATCCTTTTTCTCCTTCATGCAGAACATTGGAATTAGTTACAATGTCATCAGAACTAAACAAATACCCTCTTCTATCATCATAAAGGAAAACAGCCTTTTGAATAAGATGTTTCAGTGGAATATTCTTTTACTGTGGTTCACGGTAGGGGCTTTATGACATTGTCACAACTAAAAGATTGCCTTTTCTTCTGCCTATTAAAAAATTAGCACAGTGTGAAATCACACAGAATCTTTT